TTCATCAACAGCACCCACACATCACTATGTATCAGTACACCAGCTACCAAAGTATCTACAATTCCCACGTACTGTTGAAGTGGTGACATCCAAGACTGCATTGTGTACTATCACAGGTAAAGAAGTCTGAGAATCGTGTTATGTTTCTACTTTCAAATGAAGAAACAGACCACTATTACAAGAGCCAGAAGATGGTACTGAGCAAAGAGAGTGCCAGCCTGAGATTGCTTCCCCTCAAACCACGACTTATTGAGATCCAGACAGGAGAAAATGGTTATGGCTTTTACCTACGGATGGAACAAAATACTGGTGGTAAGAACCGAGTTAACACACAGACCATGACATTTGCTATAGAGCTGCTTCTGGTACCAGGTTTGCAGACCTCACTCTCTTTTGGCTTCTCACTGGTCATCTAGAAGTCCTCTATAGACATGTTGCAAACAGACTTGCACGAGGGTAAATGGTCTCGACCATACAATTCTGACAATCAGGTTTTCCATGCATTTTAATGTCTTTTAACTTACCAGCCTTCACATCAAGTTTTTCTCCCTTCCAGTCTTAGATCATGTAATCAAGGATGTTGATGCTGAGAGCCCAGCAGCCACAGCGGGTCTCAAAGACAATGATATCTTAGTAGCTGTCAATGGAGAGCTGGTGCGTGGTCTGGACCATGAAAATGTAGTGGGAAAAATTAAGCAGTCTGAAGCAAAAACCACACTGTTGGTAGTGGATAAGGAGACTGATGCCATGTATAAACTGGTAAGAAAATGCAAACTACTACTTAGAAATGATAATTTATCAGTAGGAAGAGACATATGCAGCAATAAAACAGCCAGTCTGCTCTGACAGACGCTTCAACTGGTGGGAAACATTTAAGATACACCCATATGACAGCAACTCTCCTTGCACTCATACAGCAAGTCACAAAACACCCAAATTTTTGGCGTCTTCCAGGTTTTTAGTCACTGCTAGAACAAATCACACCACAAGAAAGGTTAGAAGTTTGAAACAGCAAATTTAGAGCTATGTGGCTGTGTAACCATTTATGAACAAAACGAGTAACAAAATTCCTTTCTCACATAGATCAACACTGTCGTTTTCCACTCAGCCAGAAATTACTAACAAAGAGCTCTTCACTGCAGCTCAAGTCTTAGTCATTAAAAAAGTTTCAAACAAATCATTTTGATCATGAAGCCTCACACAGATTTCACAAAGTTTTATTTGTGCCTTTTTACTTGTGACTTTTTTTCAGGCTCAGATTTCCCCTTTCTCTTACTACTACAAAGCACAAGATTCAACTCCAGCTAAAATGGAGGAAAGAGCGGAGTTGCACACTGAGCAGAATGTGAACCACAAGCCAAGAATTTGCAAGATGGTGAAAGGGCCTAGTGGATTTGGCTTCAGTTTAAACATGATTAAGAACAAGCCTGGACTGTTCATCAATGAGGTACTAATGTAGAATGAGTAACAAGGAAAGGCCCAAGTAGTCTGTCAGCCAACTTCCTCCCTTCGGTCCTGCAAATGCCTTCAGGAAAAGCCACACAAGACAAGTCTCTTCTCCAGCACGCTCAGATAAAAGCTGTAACTGTTAGTCATACTGACACTGTAGGACCAAGATAAAAAAATAAGCTGTTAGATGTCTAGACAAAAGGGAAATGCAGCTTTTGCATCATTTTTGCTTTTATTCATGAGACCAGCATGCTAAAATTGGTATGTTAAATAGATATTTTTTTTTTGCCTGTAGAATGTCCTGAGCGTGAGACACCTTCACCCTGCTCTACCCACTCTTTTTTGAATTCCACAGCTGGCAAAAGTCGAACCCCAAACAAATCACGTCTGTGCCTTTAGCTTTCTTGAGAGAAGGCGTTCCAATCATTACTAAGGATATGTAATAAGGATAGGATATATAATAGAGGTAACCTTACTGTAACTTTAATATAGTAAAGTTAACTTTAAATTTACTGGATAGGGACTTGCAAATAATTAAGAAAACTGTTTTTCCACCTGTCCATAATTCCACCATGCCACATTTCTACAAGTCTATCAAAATCAAGATGTATCTTAAGTCCCAAACTGGCAGATTCCATGTTTATCATGCTTAGGCCTATTGTCTGTCCCAACTCATTTCTGCCCCACAAATCTTCCCCGTGTTTATTCTGCTGTCTTGTAAAGAAAGCATAAACATTTTGTATTTTGTTGTCTTGTAAGGAAAATAGTAACACAATATCCTCACTAACCATCAGTTGTTAATGCATCTTTCCAAGTTTTATGCTAGTATTACAGTTTGAACTTGCCTTTGCAGGTAAAAAAACACGGACCAGCTGACACAGCAGGTGTGGAAAATAACGACTTCTTGGTGGAAGTGAACAGCGTGAATGTGATGAATGAATCCTATGACAAAGTGGTGGAAAGAATCCAAGATAGTGGTGACAGACTAACACTACTGGTGTGCAGCAAAGATGCTTACAAATACTTCCAGGACCAGAACATTCCCATCACAGCCTCTATGGCAGATCCAGTCTATGACACTTCTGAACCTCCTGCTTACACAGAAAACCATCCATCAGAACCAGAGAGAAACTCATCTGAACCAAGGGAAAGGGTGAGTAATACTGCTTTAAGTAGATGTTGAGAAATCACCTAGGGAACAGGAAAAAAACTCGTATTCCTGTGCTAGGATTTTTAACTTGAGCCTGGATTATTACAAATCAGTCCATGTTATTACAAGGGAAGCTGTAGTCTGATTATCACAAACAACTCTTCCTTTCCCCACACATAACACAGGTGAGTATCTTTAATGCAAAATTAAATCACAGAAAGAATGCACATACAAAAGGTTTTATGGAACAAGATAATCCAAATACACTAATCCTTGATGAAGATGGGAAACAGGCAATACAATCCTGAACATGCAGGGGGAAAAAGTTCTTAAATACACAAGAAAAGCATAAACCACTTTTGGGAAAATCAGGTGAAATATGTCAGATCCTTTTGTAGAGGAAAGAGCAACTGATAGGGTACGATGGCATTTTCTAGGAAATGCGCTGATTTATTTTACTCACTTCATGCCATTAGAAAGAATATGAAGCATGACAAGTCAGAAAAGCAGGAAGGTATTTCTTCTTGAAACAGTCATTCTGAATCCTCTGTGTGGTCAGCCTTAAAACATTTAAATATTCTTTTCTGATCATTCAAAGGAGACAGACAAGGAAGAGTAAGACCGATGCTGCCTCCTGTCCATTTTTCGTTAGCCTTGTCTGAAAATGTCCAGCTGCCAAGTTTGTGTAAAAGTTTCAGCCTCCAAGCTGCACTGTGCAGCAGAAAGAAGGTTAACAACACTTTTGTGTGCAAATTCAGCAGCGAGGGGAATAGTAGGAAATCTCTATTGAACAAATTTCTCTCTAAACATAATTAACCAAAAAGCGCTTCAACAACAAAAAATATCACTTTTGTTGGCTCATTCTGCCATCCAAATAAGTACATGATTAGTGCAGATGAAAACAGGAGTCCTTCATAACCCATATCAAGCATGTTTTCGAACTGCAAATAATCAGAACGTATTTGTTACTCCTCTACAGGCAAGCTCATCCTCCTCTTCACAATCAGCTGCCTCTACAAGAGCAGACAGTGACAACAGTGACGACACGAAGTTGTGAGGAAACAAACTATGCCAAGAACAAAAGAAGAAACCTTCCAAATCCTCTTTCTTCATTCATTCTTTGCTACTACACCTCCCAGAACTTGACTACTCCTGGGAGTGCCATACCTGTAAAGGACTGCAATCTCTTGCTGAAATCCAGCTGCCTTAAGTAAACATTTCAGTGTAAATTGCATTCATTTAACACACTGCAATTGTACTTCATTGCTTTCTGCCTTGTAAGGTGGGCAGTTAGTCACTTCCTTCTGTAAAGGCTTAGATAACTTTATATATATAATTAAGTATAGTGCAGCAGAAGGCAGAAATGCTTTCTATTCGTAAGCATCTTAGCCTTTTAAGGATAAGCTCTTAATAAAGAGCAATTGATTTCTCCCCATCTCCCAGGAGAGGAAGTTCTCCCCCTAATGCAAGTCCGCCAGCTCAAGCTCTGTGGCAACTCTTCTATGCTATACTTACTGCTGTACAACTGCTGTGAAGTGGCATAAGCCAGTGTACTCTGTGCATTACACTCCTTTCTCCTGCTAACATCGCAAAAATGTCTTGCAAACATTAAGCTAACCTCGTAATTCATAAATCAAGATATTTAAACACTATTCTTTCACCACTGCATGCAGTTGTGGATCATGGTAGTTAGAACAGCATACATAATTCACTCATGCATATTATTTAACTCAAAGTAAACACCACATTGTCTTGAACACGACATAAATGGCTTTGTAATACTGCTGCTGTATACTCTCTTTGCTGTACACTGAAAACAACCCATAAATAAATTGTTTAGAGTGCCTATTAGCACCCACACCCCCTCCCCCAATCTTATCTTTATTACCTATGATTTATGTTCCAGAACAATTTTTAAACAAAGAAAGCCTAGGAGAGCAGCTATGGAAAGCTACAAGTTTAAGTCATATGAATAAAATTTACTTTTAAGCCTTGAATGACATCAAGAAGTGGAAATGGGCTACTGTAGAAGAATACACAGGCCGTGGAGAACATCAGATTTACAGACTATAAGGAAACAAATTTGTAACACGTAAGGTAAACAAGGCATAGCTGTGGTCTTTGACTTCACACTGAACTCCAGCAAAGAGGAATCCAAAACCTCAGTTCCATTTACACATGAAGAGAAAACAAAGCTGAGTCTCAGCAATAGAAAGCTAATCTCCAGCTCCCAAGAATAGCAGAACCAATGATACACAGCTGCATACACTACATACAGAAATGGAGTGACATTTCTCACCACTTCACTTCTGCCAGGCAGCAAATCCTAGCCACTTTCTAGTTCACTTCCAGCCAGATCTTTGGAGATGACAAAAAAGAACTGGGACGCTTGTGTGACATATTACAAAAGCTTATTTAATTCCACAGATCCAAACATTAAACTCCAGAATTACCATCCTCTGAACCCCAATTATAAGTTGATTTTCAAAAATAAAATCACATTTCCTTGGTGCCTTCTATGAAAACGCTCTTCCGACTGTAAGAGGCCTTACCTTAGCCAATCTGCTATGCAAGTTCTGATGCCCCTAGTTACTAGTGTACCCAGTGTTACTGGTGTGCCCTTATTCCTTGGCAATGAACAATCTCACATTCAGTATGTGCATTCCCTTCCCTTCAAGTTGTGGCATCTTCATAAAATGAGCCACAGAACTTGATGATGACGTGGAAGTTCAAAGAGCACTGCTGGAATACACAGCATAGCCCTGGCTCCCTCCAAGTTTTGCAGTCCACAGAAGTTGCAGTAGTGCAGTTCAAAGAACAGAAAGCAGTGTGTGACTGCAGTCCTTTCTTAGAGGGCCATGTGCTTTTCTGGAGCTTGTTTGTGTGCTAGATAGAGAAACAGGATACTGGACAGTGCACTAACTAGGAATATCACATCAAACCAACGATGATAAAAGTTGAACTGGAGCTCTCCCAGGACTTCAGTAATAATAGTGCGATACTCCAGAGGCATACTCATCCGGATCAGGAGCACTGATGACACAAAGTACATACCCTGCAAATTAAATACCAGAAAGCAGTTACTGTTTCACAACTGGCTATATGGCTAACACGGGTCAGCATATAAAGACTTTATTATACGTACACACACACAAATATGCATGCATGTAGATAGGTTTTACATACTCACCATTATCTGTGCTAAAAGCAGAACAATAACATTGGAGGATTTGCTGCTGGAAATGGCATAGAAGAACTAGGGGAGAAATAAAAAAAAACAGACACACTGGAAAAAGCAGTCAGACAACTCTGATGTGCTTTAGGACAGCATAAAAGTACCATACTATTCAATACTTTTTCATTTAAAAACAATAAAAATCATATTTTCTGGAAGGGTGCCTGTACCATACTTCCAGAAACCTGCATTCTTAGTCTTTAATGTGACTTTGCCTAAACCAGTGGCGCCACGTGGTAGAAGTCATATAAAAATATATACTGAAGTTTAAGCTGAGGTACCAAAAGCCAGGTCAAGACATTAAGTCACATGTCTCTTGAGCTAATGCCCTTCCAGTTCTACCAGTAGTTCACACTAATCAATCTAAATTCTTTTAATCACTATCTGATCAACCTTACTCCTAAGCCCTGGCTACAGCACCATTCTGAACCCTTGCTTACATTAACATCTCATTCAGCATCTACATCTATTCCTGACAGTAATAGCAACAGAGACTGAATGAGGAAACATACCGCAGAAGGTATTAAGGTGTTTTTCCTCCCTTCCCCACTCTGCAAGTATTTATATTCAGATATTTAAAACACAAATGTGTATAAAAGGTTCATGCAGTATTTGTCTAAATAGCTCAAGATCTGATAACAGCTTTCCTGGGCCAAAACAACATATGAGTCCTGGCTCTTACCTTTGTAAGTGTGATTAACAATCCTCTGATAGAAGTAACAATGATTATTCCAACGAGAATAAAGGAAATGTGCTGAGACCAGAATTTCACCTGTATCAACAAGAATAATACAGTTAAATCTCTAATGCTAACTCCATTTACACCACATTGTATAGCTGTCGATTCTTCAGGGGTTTTGTATTTCCCAATTGTACAGATCTCCACTGTAGACAGGTTTATCAGACATTTTCACAAATATATTAGCAATTGCTTAGTCCAAACAGAAAAACAAATTTATCTTACACCAATCACAAAGAACCTTGCATTCACAGGGATATATTTAAAAATTGTAAATGACAGAACACCTGTGTGCATGAGCAAACGTAATTATTCTGTAGTTAAATGTATTACTCTAAGCAAGCTGATTAACGTGTTTCCACTTGCCCAAAACAAACAAGTAAATCACTGCCTCCCTGGCAAGACCACATTACCATCCCAGTATAAAATTCACATGAAAGTGAAATTCATGGTGCATTTTCCCTTCCTTCTCACCAACTCAGAAGTCAAGATGTTCTCAGGGTTTTCTTTCTATCAGCACTATAATTTTGTTTACGTAAGATAGGAATCACTGAAAAGGCTGTAAGAATTAATAAAGTCTCACGTCAAATTGGATTCCCAGATAATTTACAGTGATCTCAATTCCTCTTGTGACTGGATCAGTCTTCCCCACACGGTCAAATACAATATTGATGGTTGCCTGCAAGAGAGATGGATTTACATTGAAACAAGAAGACAAAAGCATACCTCACTCCTACACGTGAGACACATTCGTGACTTTTACTTGGCATCACCAAGGAAAAGGGCAGGGAGCAGGCAGATTGGCTAAGAAGGTGCAAAATACACACATGTAAGAATTGCTTGTCTAATGTGCTGTACAAAAAGACCGATCCAGAGCTTTATTTCAACCAAGAGCCAGTTTCGTTCCCCAGAAGCAGGATCTTAAGCTAACTGGAGCATTACTTGAAGAACTCCATGTATAATATAACCTATGCAGGGTGTGATAAATAAAACATTTTCATACCATGAAGATTTTCCAGACACAATAGATGGAGAAAAAATAACCCAAAAAATTGAAGTATTTTCCCTGGAAAGTTTTGGAGTACTCTATTCTCTCCTGGAAATACAAAAGGAGGGAGGGGGGAACAGAACACACAAAATAAATATCATTTCCACAATCCCCCACAACATAAAATGTTAATGGAGCACCAACCGCAGTAAACAGCTTTATTCCTCTATATCTCTTACTTCAAATGTTTCTGAACTCAAAAGTTTTAATTCAGAAGTTTCTGATTGGCTTTAGGGACACAGGGCACAGTCAAGTATGTACCTGAACTGGAAGGAAACTGCCATCTAGACCCCAAATTAAAGAAACAGATCTTTACTTCACCACATCACAGTATTTCAACATTTAACTACACCTTTCAATTTCTTGTAACATACATTTTCTTTCAAACTACTTCTGGGCAGTTCTTTGCCATGTACCTTTGTTGCATGCAAGTCAGCAGTTTCCAGAAAAAGCTGCCGACTAAGCTCTTCTAGGGCATCCACTTCTTGCTGGATAAGGGACAGATCTGGCAAACCAGCATAGTCAAGGCTACAATACATCACAAATTCTTTATTAAAACCAAAACATGCCCTCCCAACTTCAACCCAAAGCCATATCTAATGGTTTACCCACTTTTTTGATCCAGATCACTTTTCTGATTCTGCCTGAATGCTTTTTGTTAATACTGCACCCTAAGGAATCTCAAGGATACACACACCTTAGAACAGACTTGGAGTACCTAAAGAGGGCCTACAAGAAAGCTGGAGAGGGACTTTTTATAAGAGTAAGTAGTGACAGGACAAGGGGGAATAGTTTTAAACTGAAATAGGGGAGATTTAGATTCTAAGAAGTTCTCTACTGTGAGGGTGGTGAGGCTCTGGCACAGGTTGCCCAGAGAAGCTGTGGCTGTCCCATCCCGGCAGTGTTCAAGACCAAACTGGACGAGGTTCTGAACAACCTGGTCTAGTGGACGGTGTCCCTGCCCATGGCACAGGATTGGAACTGGACAAGCTTTAAGGTTTCTTCCAACCCAAATCATTGTGTATATGATATATTGCACAATACTCCATTTTAAGAAGGTAGGCAGTACACACCATTCAGGCAGTCATGCATAAGCTCTTTAGTCCTGTGCCTGAAGAACATATTGCAGAAGAGAACCAGACCTCTCAAAGACTGCCGCTCCACTTCAGTATCCCTTGTCACTGAAGTGCATCTCTCAATATGTCACTCTCACATCATCTTCGTAAACCAAACTACTGAGTAACTGCTCCAAGAGATTAGTGATTATTATGAAGAGTCTTGTCAAATAGCCAAATTGATTTTAACAGCTAGTAGGAACAGAGAGGAAGAAGAGTCATCAGCCTTAAATATGCAAACTGCATGCTTTAGATGGTCTAGTAGAAACTACTGGTATGTTACTGTCAGTTGGGTAAATACAGACCCTTGTAATACCCCAGCAGATTCCCTCTACCCCTTTCACACTGGCAGAACAACTTCTGTTCACCTGTTCCTATCCACCTTTTTGTCACACTGCTATAGTACTGGTGGCCAGCCTATATCATGAGAACAATCTATTTGTTCAAAAAGTTGCTTCCTGCTCTTCTTTTTCTCATGGCTTCCCAAAACGGCCAGAAAAAACAACCACGGGACAAGCAAATTGTTACAGGACCTCAGTCAACCCCACTGATTTGCTCAAGTACATCACAGATTCTGCAGCCCAGAAGAGCATATTTCAAGTTACAAGAAAAACAGGCAGGTCAGTCATATGAGCAGAAGACACCCTAACCCTAATCTAAGCAGAAAATTGCCTCCCACATCAGTGATGTGGTGGAGTAGACATCTGCACTGCGACACCATGATAAGAGGGCTGGAGCACCTCTCCTATGAAGATGGACTGAGAAAGTTGGGCTTGTTCAGTCTGGAAAAGAGAAGGCTCTGGGGGAGACATTAGAGCAACCCTGGAGCACCTAAAGGGGGCCTACAAGAAATCTGGAGAGGGACTTATACAGGGACAGATAGTGACAGGAGAAGGGGGAATGGCTTTAAACTGAAAGAGGGTAGATTAAGATTACACACTATGAGGGTGGTGAGACAATGGAACAGGTTGCCCTGAGAAGCTGTGTATGCCCCACCCCTGGAAGTGTTCAGGGCCAGGCTGGATGATGCTTTGAATCCCTTCCAACCCAAACCATTCTATGATTCTATGATAAGTGTGCAATCTGCTGTACACCTCAACCATGGTGAAGCAACAACACGTTTACAGGGCAGGCAGCAGTATACACCTCCCAGCTGTGTCACAGTAAAATGGTGTCCAGCCTCTGGGTAAAAAGGCAGACAGTACAGTGCGAGACAGCAAACTTCCCAGGAGACATTGAGCTTTTTGCTCAGACTGCTGAAACATGCTGAAACACAAATGCTTTGTAACTGACCCAACTAACACTCTTCCTTTCAAGAGAGCAGAAAGCTGAAGCTACCTCCCAAGGCAGGTGCCAGCATACAGATGAAGGATACTTTCACTGCCTGAAACAGATGCTGTAACGCTTTTTATCATTCCCCAGAAGCCAGTGGGTTTGTTATGCACTTCTCCTCTCTGGAACATTGTCCTGTGAGCCACTGCTATCCTGAAAGAGCAGAAAACACAAGTCCTTAGGAATAAAGTAAGTTTCATAAAAAAATCAAAATAAACCCCCCTTCAAAAAACAAGCCAACCAACAAAAAACAAAACACCCAAAAACCAAGAAGCAAATACGAAACCACCCCACAGTTCCTTAGAAGACACTGTTAAACTAAATTCACTGCAAACAGATGCTCCCCTTTCTTTCCCCCCTAAGCACCAATCTTGCTTCATAACATTATCTTGATTAGCTCTGGAGTAGAGCCCAGATCTAATCAAGCAAGATTCAGTGAGACACTTCCCAAGACTTCCATTCAGAATCCTGCTTCAAACCTTAAAGAGATCTGAACCCAATTAAACCTATGAATTCAAATGGATTTCTCAGACATATGATAAGTCGCTTTCCTTTCCTCAAACACATGACTGTGCTATCTCAAGTTCAGGAAGATTTCTCATGCTCCTTTCTCCCCTTGAACACCTCTTTATCACTGCTACCCACCTCCTCCACAGCACTGTGAGCACTGGATGGTACGCAGCAGCACTCAGATACACTGCCACACACTACTAGGCTGCATGACAAGCTGTTATGAAGCAGAAACACATAAATCCATTATTGGACTGAACACTGGATGCTTCAGGCAATCTGAACGTGACTGCTAAAGCTAATTCCAACACTACAGCAGCAGCTGCATATTGTCCCTCACACTGCCATGTGCACCGCAGCATAATCCCTATGAGCAGTGCTGGCTTCTGGCCTCATTCCCTCACATTTCTCCCCATTGAAATTTGTGAGCCAGTTATCTAGGCCTAAGCTGAAAGCTATTCATAGGACTGTCAAGGTGATCCATGTCCATAATGTTTAGGCCCTTTCTTGTAGCTGCAGCCAATACCACTACATTTGGCAATGAGCCCTCTTCAAGGTTGTTGATAAGCACCGTAATTAAAAAAAAATCACTCCTCCACATCCAGTGAAAGAAAGACCCTGGGGTACCCCACAAAACACACATAAAAGCACATATGGCCACAGACTACAAATAACAGATCTTGGAGCAATTCAATTCATCCTGATAGCTGCCAAGTACAAGAACTGCATTTTGAATCTTTGCTTTCGTCCCAGTACCCGATTTACAAGCTCCATCTGAAATGACTCGCAGCATTGCAGCAAAAGTGCAGCTACGTCAAGGTGAAGCACAGGGCTGTAAGTATACTAAGAGCAATCATATTTTGAGAGGTGACAGGGATCTCTGTAGCCACAAAGCAGTCAGGAGTTCTGGAGAACTTACAGAAAGGATTCACAGGCAAAACTAATGCATTTTGCATGTGTAGGTAAGTGATACATCTATGCCATATAGGCTGATTTGACTCCAAAGGGAATCAACAGTGTCACAGAATCTAGGCATTTCAGACCTGGAGCTTAGTTATCTCATAGCTACTAGGATGAGTATAAAGAACCTTCCAAATGTAGAGGCGAGTTTCCATAAGGCTTTACTTGACTAAACTCAGGAAAGAGAGAACCAAGTAATTCATGTACAAAAAGCATCAGGGAAACCCAACTTTTAACAACTATCTTCTACTGACAAGGAAGATAGTGTGAATAAGGGTTGGTATGAGAAGTCAAAATTCAGCAAAGAAAACAAAAAAAGCTTCTAGAATAGAAAGGGTTCTATTGCCTTATAACCCTTGTGTGCATTGGTAAGTTCTGAGTTATCAGTAGCCTTGAAAAGACAGTGAGCAAGTAACTGATAATTAATGGAACAGCCTTTACCCTGCTCTGTGAAATGCTGCTATTGCTGTTTGTTCTTACAAATGACTTGGATTTTATTTGAAGAGATACAAATCTAACTTTTAAAGATCTGCTTTATATGAGTAGAGTCCAGTTATGCAAGCCACTGCTCCCTGTCAAAGCAAAAAGGAGGAAAAACAGTTACAGAACTTGAGCTTCTGCTTTTTCTTGCACATTTCTGAGGTTACATTGTTGGGGGAGGTTCTCTGTTGTTTTGTTTTGGGTTTCATGGACTTCAATATAATTGCCAAGCAATTAACACACTATATGTGGCTCTTCATAATGGTAGTTGATATACTCAGAAGATTTCCTAGCCATAGGAGGAAAGAAAGTGCCAGTCAGTTACAAGTCCCAAACATCCTTATATTTGTCGCAAAATCACCTTCCCTGGACTAGAGGTCCACAAAACAAAAGAGCACAGACTCAGATGCCGCACTACACAACATTTTTTAACTCCAAAGCCAGTATTTTAGTATGCTCCTAGTCAATTAAACCTAAGTAATTAAATTCTCTTACAGTCTCAAACGTGACCACAAATACTGAGTTAACATTTGTTCACCACTTAACATTTACAAAGTCGAAGAAAAATATAATGCTTTAACTACACTTTCATATGCTAATACTGATCAGCAGATAGATACACACATTGGTGACTAATTCAGCAAGGTTAGACAACCCAAAAGCTGCCTTGTCGTACATTAAAAAGTTCCATCGAAACATCAGTGCACCAAAAGTAAAGTCTGCAGGCCCTTGTTCTCATGGGTGACTTCAACCACCCTGACATCTGTTGGAAGGACGGTACGGCCCGGCACAAGCAATCCAGGAGGTTCCTCGATTGTGTAGAAGACAACTTCCTTCTGCAAGTAATAGAGGAGCCGATAAGGAGAGGTGCCGTGCTTGACCTCGCGCTCACCAACAGGGAAGGGCTTGTTGGAAATGTGATGCTCCAGGGCAGCCTTGGATGCAGTGATCATGAGATGCTCGAATTTGAGATCCTCAGGACAGTGAAAAGAGCGTGCAGCAAGCTCACTGCCCTGGACTTCAAAAGAGCAGACTTTGGCCTCTTCAGGAACCTGCTTAGTAAGGTTCCATGGGATACAGCCCAAGAGGGCAGTGGGGCCCAAGACTCTTGGTCGATATTCAAGGATCACCTGCTACAAGCTCAGGAGTGTTGCATCCCAACCAGAAGGAAGTGCAGCAGGAGGGCCAGGAGACCTCCTTGGATGGATAAGGAGCTGCTGAGGAAAATACAAATGGAAAAAGAGGCTTATAATAAGTGGAAGCAAGGACAGGTGGCATGGGAAGAGTACAGGGATGTTGTCCGAGAAGCTAGGGACCAGGTTAGGAAAGCTAAGGCTCAGTTAGAATTAAACTTAGCTAGAGGTATTAAAGATAACAGGAAGGGATTCTACAGGTACATAGCAAATAAAAAACAGACTAGGGAAAATGTAGGCCTCCTCAGGAAGCTCTCAGGAGAACTGGCTACACAGGATTTGGAGAAGGCTGAGGTTCTGAATGACTTCTTTGCCTCGGTCTTCACTGCCAAAGGCTCTGACCACACCACCCAAGTCTTGGAAGGCAGATGCAGGGACTGTGAAAATGAAGACCTTGCGCCCACTGTAGGAGAGGATCTGGTTCGAGACCATCTTAAAAATCAGAATGTACGCAAGTCCATGAATCCTGATGAGATCCATCCACAGGTCCTGAAGGAGCTGGCAAATGAAGTTGCGAAGCCGCTGGCCATATTTGAGAAATCATGGCGGTCAGGTGAAGCTCCCAATGACTGGAAAAAGGGAAATATAACCCCCATTTTCAAGAAGGGGAAAATGGATGACTCGGGGAATTACAGACAGTCTCACCTCTGTGCCTGGCAAAATCTTGGAGCAGATTCTCCTGGATGGCATGCTAAGGCACATGAAAATCAACAAGGTGCTTGGTGACAGCCAGCATGGCTTCACTAAGGGGAAATCCTGCCTGACCAATTTGGTGGCCTTCTATGATGGGGCTACAGAACTGACGGACAGGGTAGTTGATGTCATCTACCTGGACTTGTGCAAAGCGTTCGACACTGTCCCACACGACATCCTTGTCTCTAAATTGGATCGACGTCAATTTGATGGATGGACCACTCGGTGGATAAAGAACTGGCTGGATAGAGGCACACAAAGAGTTGCGGTCAATGGCTCAATGTCCAGCTGGAGACCAGTAACGAGTGGTGTCCCTCAGGGATCGGTGTTGGGACCTGTCCTGTTTAACATCTTTGTCGCTGACATGGACAGTGGGATTGAGTGCGCCCTCAGCAAGTTTGCCGATGACACCAAGCTGTGTGGTTCGGTTGATACACTGGAGGGAAGGAATGCCATCCAGAGGGACCTTGACACGCTTGTGAGGTGGGCTGATGCCAACCTCAGGAAGTTTAACCATGCCAAGTGCAAGGTCCTACACCTGGGTTGGAGCAATCCCAGGCACAGCTGCAGGTTGGGCAGAGAAGAGATTCAGAGCAGCCCTGCGGAGAAAGATCCAGGGGTGTTGGTTGATGAGAAAATGAACATGAGCAGGCAGTGTACGCCTGCAGCCCAGAAAGCCAACCGTATCCTGGGCTGCATCAAAAGGAGCGTGACCAGCAGGTCAAAGGAGGTGATCCTGCCACTCTACTCTGCTCTTGTGAGACCTCACCTGGAGTATTGTGTGCAGTTCTGGTGTCCTCAACATAAAAAGGACATGGAACTGTTGGAACAAGTCCAGAGAAGGGCCACAAGGATGATCAGGGGACTGCAGCACCCCCTGTATGAAGACAGGCTGAGGAAGTTGGGGCTGTTCAGCCTGGAGAAGAGAAGGCTGCGTGGAGACCTCATAGCAGCCTTCCAGTATCTGAAGGGGGCCTATAGGGATGCTGGAGAGGGACTCTTCATTAGAGACTGTAGTGACAGGACAAGGGGTAACGGGTTAAAACTTAAACAGGGGAAGTTTAGGTTGGATATAAGAAGGAAATTCTTTCCTGTTAGGGTGGTGAGGCACTGGAATGGGTTGCCCAGGGAGGTTGTGAATGCTCCATCCCTGGCAGTGTTCAAGACCAGGCTGGACGAGGCCTTGGGCGATATGATTTAGCATAAGGTGTCCCCACCCACAGCAGGGGGGTTGGAACTAGATGATCTTAAGGTCCTTTCCAACCCTAACTATTCTATGATTCTATGACTGCTGTGAGAATTCAGTGTCAGGCAGTCAAACCTTTGCAGTGACTATGGTAATTGTACCTATTCTGCACAATTAGTAACGCATGCAGTATGTAATTTGTAACATCAGACAAAAATGTTTTCAGTGTAAATGAAATTACCTTGATTACAAAAGTAGTTTTGCTTGGGGTACATGAAATAAGCTAAACCCACAAAAGCAGAGCTCTGATGGCACACTTGTGTGCTGCACTACATTCGCATTAGCAGTGTCTGCAATTCTGCAAAACTCAACATAAACCTTGCCATTGGCAGGAATGTAACTGTGTACACACAAGCTCACTAGCCAGCTCTGACCAGGAAACACCAGATCCACAGAGCAGGAGAGTGCTCAATAGGTATGAAACAACTGTACTGAAACCTCCAGTAAGACAGCCAGTTGTGGTGGCTTACAAGTCACTTACTCAGCAGGAGAGAAAGATGCCCATCTTACAGTCTACTCAAGCTGCCATCAGAGTTACAATTTGTCTTGGAAGCACAATCTGTGCCACACTGCAGTAAGAAAGGGTACTATTTAGTGTAGATGTCTGAGTGAAAAAATAAAGTTGCTTATCAGGCCAGAGTGAAACACCACACAGCTCAGCCCAATTCAGCCTCCTGTTTCATTGGAACACATAGCCCTGACAGGTCTAATAATTTTTTGGTAGTTTCAACAACCACCTTATTGAGGTGAATTGATTATTGAGGTGAATTGATTATGAAAATCCTTGAAATAAATAATTTCATGTTAATGCTGCCTTCTCACCTTTTTTTCTTGCTAACAATCATGTCCATAGTCTGAAGGAGTCGTCGCTCCAAAGCCAGAATATCGGCATCTGTCACATTCCTGCAAATAAAGACCCCCCATTAGGTCTGCCATCCCATTTCAGAGGAAATGGGCACATGTCCATGAAACAAAGAGAGAAGCCTATATAAGAACATGCTTCACCAATGGAAATGGTTCTACTACACAGACATGGCAAGAGCTAGAAAACAAAGCTATGAAAAAGCCTGAATCAATGCCACAGGGAAAGCAGAATAATAATCTCAAAAAGGTGGATAAAATATTTCCTGAGGCCACAGTTACCTGAGAAAGTAGGACATATAAGTGTATGGACAGTTGACAGCCCCAAATCCTGACAGCAAAGCCATGAGTGTCACCCCAATCACACCCACGCGGCTGATGAGCTGTTCTATAGACAGGATTCCTGAGAAAGGAAAAACATGGCATAAGTGACCTTGCTCCCTTTACTCTGTTACACACTAGGTGCCTTCACAACCCAACATACATATGGAGCTGCTTCATGAATCCAACTGTCTTCCCACTGCAATGACCAAAGGTAATATGAAGTAGATAGGGACTATGAAAAGAGAGGCAGAAAATCTCCCTGAGTAAGCACGTTATAATGCTTAGAAACAGGGATGGGAAACTATCTATGAAGAACCCTAAGACAGATCTGGAGAGTACTAAGCGTCAGTATTTTGCATCTAAATTAATAAAATAGTGACGGCACTTTGCTGAGGCGGGAACATGGATCATCCACCAGACACTATAAAGAAAGCATTTTCCACAAAGCCACATCTGCAATAACCAGGATTAGAGTTACCAAACCTGTTAGTCCTGGCAAACTAGCCCCAAAATGTCTGAACCATAGAGTGGAAGCCCTATCCTGTCAACTGCCATTAGAAACAACCCCTCCAGATCAGACACAATTTGTGTTTGTAGGACAGTGTTCAAAGCCAGGTAGGAAAGAGCCTTGGGCGACATGGTCTAGTGTGAGGCATCCCTGCCCATGGCAGGGGGTTGGAACTGGATAATCTTAAGGCCTTTTCGAATCCTAAACATTGTATGATTCTATGACTACAGCATGGGAAGTTTATGCTGCGCCTGGCTGCTTATATTCATCTTCTGAACACACACACATTGTTGAGGTGACCACCAAAAAGGCATTCTACCTGAGCACCAACTGGACTCTAAAACACATAGTCACGTAATACAGCATGACCATTAAGCCTACGCTGTAACCAGCACCAAGCACTGAAGTTACATTTATTCTCCTCCGCTATCAAACACAGAGCTCAACCTGTCTTCTCAGGATACAGTGCCATGTGCTACTAAACAACACTCACTTTTTAGGGAGCTAGTTATAGAGCAGCTGCCACACACAGCACATTTGGAGCTTACATGACTGCAAAGCTGAGATGGCGAAGCGCCAAGCCACATTTCATGCTTCAGAGAAGGAGAATAAATGATGAAAACAAGGCAAAAAGACTTCACAAAAGGAGACTGAGACACCCAGTCATGTGCAGCTGCATAGAGATTTACACGAGCTACAGAATGTGCTACAATACACTGGCCTTTTGCCCCACATGCTCTCAGATAGCAACAGTTAAAACAGAGGTGTCTTCCAAAATGACATGACATTCCACTGGTGAAAGCAATGCTTCCCACTAAAACTCACAGCAACCCTACTCTTGTAATCAGTTCATTTAGATTACTGGTATGTAACTGAGTAAAGCATAACCTTCCTTCTACTACAAGCTCCCAAACTCAGGTCTATTGAACATGCTGCAGACCAACCAGGGCTCCTGACTGAAGAGCCTTTGACTGATGGTTCATTTCCAAGGTGCATCACACTGGCCATCACCATCCCAAGGCAAGACACCCCATGACACATGGTGCCACTGCTGGTACTTGAAAGGGTCCCACTAGTTCCCACAATTCCCCAGATGCAGCACACCACCACGTGCAGGAGAGCCAAGGGCCACAGTGACAAAGGCACTACAGGTTAATGTACTGCAGTGTGAGGTGTTCATTAGGCACAGCCTCCCTCCACAATAGGATCCCACCTGTCTGAATTGGGTCACTGCCATATGATAAAGCCCTGCAACAGCCTTGTCCATACATGCAGGAGAGCAGGGGAAAAAAACAAAGTAGAATCCTGTGCTCTAACCTTATGTCTGTACCTGGTAGATAAGGCACTGTACAACTGTAAAGTGGAGGTATCACCCTGTAAAGCAGAAGTTAAAAGAAAACACCCCACTACCAGTTCTGCAAGCCTGCAGTTGTTACACAGCTTCACAGAACCTTTTCAATGGTCTGAAGAGGATTACCTGAGTCCCATCACTAAGTTCCCATTGGGTTATTATATTCTGCCAACCCAAGCACCTTCTGCCACCCAAAGATATGCATTTTTCTTGGCAATGAAACCATGAGCAGAGGGATCTGCACTGTATGCTAGCTGTTGTATTTCAGTGGCAAATGGCACAATTACAAAACACAGAAACACATTCTCTCTTGGGGTAGTTTTAGGATCAGAGATGAAAGAGTGAGCAGACCCTGCTGCAGCTGGTGTTCTTCAGTTTTTCTCTTACAGATTAGTACAGAGTAAAGTTGCTTCCTAGAGGACAGTAAGATTAAGCTGACCCTTATCTATAGAGACAGATATATATCACCTATTTGAGTGAAACTGACTGAACCTCACCAATTGAGAACAATGTGCAAACATTTTTCCAACGCAGGAGATAAGGGCAACGTCATTTACACAGGAACCCCAGGTGATAAACAGTCTGGTTCTGTAGTGTTATAGTCCTTCAGCACACTTAAGAGCCTGCAGGATTCAGTATATATAGGCACAGGCTAACAAACTCTTGCACCTAAACTAGCCCAAGTGAGCACAGTATCTTCACACTATAAATACTCTTGGTTCCATGACTGCAACATAGAGATACTCAAGCTGATTGCACATAAATAGCTTTGGCATCCAGCAGGACCCATTAACTCACATTCTAGTACATGCAACTGTACAGGCTCCGGTGTACAAAGCTGTACGAAGCTAGCATGCCCTGCCAGACATATTACTAGCTATAGTCTATGCAGCTCTGGTGTTTAGACACCCTGCCATGTTTTCTCAACTGGACAGCCATCTATGCTAAACTGATCTGACTTCAGTCACAAGAAACATTATTCTGATTGAAAGAAGTCAGCTGAAGGACTGGTTGTCAATTCACTTCTTAAATAAATTATCTTTAGTTTCCACAAGAAAAGAAGTAAGTGAATAAAAATTGTGATCAACTTTTTGTGGAGATGGAGTTTTTGTGTCCTCAAAAAGCATGCTGTGTTCTTACAGTCTAGATTCAGCTAAGACTCATTCACTTCCTTCAGTTTTTCCTGTGGTACTGGAAGAAAACTAATGCAAATAAACTCAGATGTAACCATCCATTTCTGTCAGTCTGACAACCTTCAGATTGCAGATTCCAAAGCAGAGCATACCCCCAGTTGCAGAACTTTCTACAGTCCTAAATGTACAGCTGAAAAAAATATTTTCAAGATAAAAGTGAGATAAAGGAATCAGGAAGAATATGAAACTCACCATGTTTTGGACTGAGGATAGGAAACGGATCCCCCAACTTCCAAAAGAAATACATGAATGTCAACCATAGAACACACGCAAAAAGCAGTTTCTGTCTGTGCACTAAGGAGAGATAAAAAACAGTATTTTAAAGACATTCTTTCTTTACAGCTTTTTCTAGCTTGAAAAATTGCTACATTGGTCAAAAGGCTGCTTTGAGTACAGGCAGCTAAAACTGACAGAGCTACAGTTAGCAGTATGCACCCTGCCCCTTCCTACAGGATCAGCTATTTGAGAGACCCCAGTCTGAAAGAGCTGATGTAGCCACACACCACTTTGGCTTTTCCCCCCAGACATACGAAGAGGCCTGCACCATGAACAGGGGATTGCTTAGCTTTTGTCTTTCTTGTGTGACCCTGAACATGAAGCTTGAAAACTTCATGCCAAAACTATACATTTAATACTCCCTACCTACATGCACGTGCTTAATACAAAAGAGCAATAAATATCAGTAGCTTGTAAGTGCCCATTAGTGCATGGAAGAAGCTTCATCCAGGCAGCAGTAAGCAAAGAAATCAAAAGCAATTTATTAAGCTTTTCTGCCTCAAGACTGACTTACTGAGCTTTCCTGTCTCATTTTTTTTACACCACCCCCCCCCCCCCCCCCCCCCCGCCCCCCAGCAGAACACAGTCTTGCCAAGGGTTCCAGAGTTTGGCTGCAAGCTTAAAATTGTAAAGGAACAAATTCCAGTAACATTACTCTATAGCACTCAACTCTATTGAAACCAATAAAGAAAGGATACACTTGCTGGGGTCAAGCAAAGTATCTTGTAACTGCTTAACAGTCCACGCTAAAGCACTGAATTCCAAAGAGAAGTTATCTAGCCAGAACAAAGACGAAGGAGTGAGCTACAGGGATAGTGAGCAACACATATCTCTCAGGAAAGTTATTTCTCATTTGTATGTTTAGTCTCACGTTAGCAGCCCCAGTGCCATGAATCGGGTACTCACACAATCTGATATTGCTCACAACAAAGTAACCAATATAGAAGGGCACCATGAAGACTAGGATGAGCAAAATGACACACAGGTTCAGCTTCCAGTGAAAGTATCGAGAGCTAAAATAAAGCCAAAATACTGATTAGCATGCTACCATAATACAGAAAATTTCTCAAAGACAATTGCCTTTCAGGGCAATCCTTTCAACTACACCAAGCATTGGCTAATATAGGCCTAGCATATAGAATATTCTGGATTCTTTTTCTGTTTGGAGGGATGGAAGATGTTTGCTTTGCTTGTTTTGTCGGATTTTTTTTAAAACAGAGCTCAAGAGTGCGTATTTCAAAATTAACAACTACTCAGAAAACCACACTGGGCTATTTTATCCAACACTATTTTCTATGGTGACCAATGCCAGCTGCAGCATGATTCATTCAATCTACCACCCATCCAGTTGAACAGTAAATCAAAACTAAGTATGAGCAGTATGTAATTCTGTAATGAGTGGCTGAGTCAAAAAAGGGCTAACTCAAATTGAAAAGATTAAAATATTTAATGCTCATAATTCAACATGTTTAACTCCAGAGTGAGCTGTTTCATGTGCAAGACATTGCAAAGCAAAAGTTTAAAAATACACATGTATATGAAAATGACCGATGCTCCTCTGAGCAAATCAGACTAGTCAAATGCAGATGAGATTCACCTTGGCTGAACTGACCATTCACTTACATTTAACAGAAAAATACATATCCTGTTCCCAGTATTAACTCATAACTTCTTTATGCCTCAGGGAAGGAGAAATGATGATGATCCTTGTCACTTTTTCCTAGCCAGTTCAGAGGCAAACATTTTTATCTATATAGATGTCCAGTCCTTTACTGAAACTTATAAAAGCATTTTCCTCATGTGGCTGCAAGATCTACAGATTAGTAATATAGTCAGAACTAACATAACCTTTTATCAGTTTTGCACTTCTTGCCTTTAAACACCTTTGACTACTCTCTTATACCAATATGATGAGACAGAATAAATAAGAAACCCAGTTAGAATCTACATGTTACCGTTCTATCTTCTTTTTTTCTACTGACTTCTGAAGTAGACAGTTTTTAGCAGTCCCCACCCTATGTCAAGGGAGGATGCACCTTTGATTCACAAATACCATATTATTACAGAAGTAGTATTCACTCCCCAATTAGCTTCACATCTTATTCACTGTTCTAACCACCACAGAAAAACTAGTTGCTCATAATTTCTATAGTTCTTAACTTCTGAAAAGCGCTCTTCAGCATGATCTGAAGCTTTACAGTACTCCCGTGAAAGAAACGGTTTCTTTTAACTTCACAAAAGTCAAAGACTAAAGCCTTGCTCCAGGGACCTAGACCACACTAAAAGCAACTGCGTGGAAAATCAGAAGCTTATGGCTCCTAGTCTCATGTTCTGTCAAATAAACAAATTATGTGGCTCAAACATCTTCACTGAGTTGTTGAAAATTTCCTCACATGGTTTCCCCAATCCAAGACTAATCCAGTGATTTAGAAGTTGGACTGAAGATACTGCAGAACACAAGGCAGGCTAGTCCTTTAGTGAGCTCACAGACTCACCTGCTGTTCAGCACTCCCAAAATCTCAAAGATGATAAGCTCAAACATGGTACAAGAGAAGGCAAAAGTCACAGAGAAGATCACCTGGACCACATACTGTCGCACCTGCAATGGAGAAAACAAGCCAGAGACATCAGACATTTCTATTGAGAGAATGGCATCCTGATATCCCTTGGGTACCAAACACAAATCACAAGGTACAACGGTACACAACTGGGTCTCCTGTTTCAAGGCACCTTACTCTTTATCCAAATAGGAAGTAACCAACAGCCTGTAGGAAACAGAGGGCAAACTCCTAAGCTGCTCGGTGTTACACTGACTGCAGCTGTCGGCACATTTAACAGAGATGCTTTACAAAGAAGGGATGTCAAGCATGCAATGCTCTGCCAACTTGAGAGGCACCTACTAACAGAACTCTTTGATCTTAACCTTAGACTTTAAGATAAGATCCACAGCAGAAAAATTTTTCAAGTATGAATTTGGCTCACACTTCAACCATCTCTAACTTAGAGTATATTCTCTCATAAACATCTAGAAATAAGAGAATGCTGTAGTTTTATCCCATTCAATTCTCAAAAGCAATTTAGACACAATGAACACACCTCACTGAGTTTAAAGTTGCCACTGAATTTGATTTTGTCTCAAAATGTTTACAATTACATAAGGCAGGCTTACCCAAACAAAAAGCGAAACAGTTTCCTATCACCCCTGCACCTCCTCCATATTTATTATTTTTATTTAACAGTAGCCAATATGGAAACTTTCACTGGCCTCAGAAGAATCCTCTTCCTCAGATATCGAGGAGTCTTTCAAATAGAAGCAGAAGTGGGAAGTAAAATGAAAGTAACTGTAGAGATACTTACAAATAAGAGGGGTTAAAGAGTGGAAGAAGGGCCAAATGCAGTTTTAAAATTATTTCTACAATTGTAATTTTTAAGATATGGACTTGTAATGAAAGGTCCCTTCTCACCTCATAATCCTTGAAGAGTTTACGCATGAAGAACAGCCACCCAAATCCAAAGAACAGCACCTGCAGAAGAGATGAAGCACTTAACATTTGTATCCAGCAATCTGCAAAACATAAAGCCAGTTCACTACTGACTGCAGATGAAATAAATGAAATGAAAATAGCTTGGTCAAAGTACCCAACATCCACAAAGGATTAAAACTTGTCATGGTGCCAGAGAGAAGAATATTTTAAATATTCAAGTGTAGCAGATACAGAAGGCTACGATACTATGGAAGATCCAGTCAAGATCATATACCCCAGTTGTGTATTCCCAGTTCTCAGAATCCCTGAGTTCTTGGCCTGCCAGAATCCTCTGCACTGTTGTTTCTTTTCCTCTCTTCTAACGTACAGAATTAAAGCATACAGTTTTTACAGAAAACACAGTAATGAAGGCAAAGTAAACACCTGAATGTCCACAACATACATATCTTTATAAAATTTACTCATACCTGGAAGGTATCTGTTGTTGCTTTAAGATTAGAAGTGCATTTGATTTTTTTCTGGAGAGTTCTTTACACTAAATCTGGTTACACACTGACACAATATGGGTGAAAAGCATTAAAAGCATCTCAAAACTAGGGAGAAGGCAGTGTTGAATGCCTCAAACCACAATCCGGAACTGCAAAAGCAACATAAACAAGGAAGGTGACACAAGACAAGCCAATAACACTTTGCATTTCCATGGCTCGCAGAACACTGCAAAACTCAGTTAAGGTTCACACACACCTGAAGAGACAAACTCAGTATCACAGCTGTTCTGCAGATGACTTAGATGAAGTACATACAAATCAAGGAATGTGGTTGAAATTGCTAATTACCAATCTTCAGACAGTAAAAGGAGATAGTGTTGTTGGGCCTTACATGGGTAACCCCATCTATTACTCAGAAGACACAAAAATGAGTATGGTGATTTAAAAGGCCCCAAGCAAAAAGAGAATTCAGAAGATATTAAGTATTCTTTATAAGTTCATCTTTGACCAAAGCAAAGAGAAAAATCAGCATATGTCACAAGGCATGGGACAAAGACAGTATTTGTTCTCAGAGAATACAGAAAAGGCCAGAGCGCTCTGACTCACTGTGGCGATGGGAAACTTTCAGAGACAAAAATTCAGGAATCATTGTGGATGACTCCATTGTGGTTCAGAAGTAACTGGATCCCAGCAGTGGCAAAGGTAACAGACTAACATGATTTACAGACAGTGAACACTGGGAGTGCCCGGCAAGGAGATCAAACATATTTTCCTTGACATAAAAACTGCAATAGGAATAAGGTCTAGTAATTGGTAACAGCTGGCAAAACCTGTTTGAAGAGGACTTCAGGCTTTAAAGTAATTGATAGCAAAAAGAAAAATGTAAGATATTTCGTAAGTGTCCTATCTACAGGGAATAAGTTGAAGAAGTGTAAGTAAGCAAGCGATATTTACATAAAGCAATTCCACATTTAACAGAGAGAAGGAAGAAAAAGGTGGAGACAAACTCTTCAAAAAGAAGTAAATAAAGAGATGAGATAAGCAAGTACAGTAACAACAGAGTAAATTAGACATGAAGATTAGATTTCCCTTGTGTTAAGGACTGTACAAAAGCACAGAAAGACATTATCTGAACAGTTCACACTGTAAAACAAAGCAGGTCAGTGTGACAGGTTAAGTCAGGAAATCCTTGAGCATTTGACAATCACATGCACCTAACCTGATGATTCTGAAGATTATGAGAAGATGCAAAGCTAGCACCACAAATGAAAGAAAAGCAAGTTAGATCTCAGAATGCAAAACAAATAATGAGAAAGTTTTTGTTCTGGGTGAACTGTTAACAGTGCCAAAGCTACACTCAAACCACTGACAGTGAAAAAGCAGATTAGGAGCAAGAATCAAAGCATTGGCAAGTAGGAGGGCATAGCACTTCTAAGAAATGACCAAAAGCTGTCCTGAAAACTGACAGAAAAACTACAGTTGTGCATTACAGTCTTTGTAAGACAACCTACTGATGTTGAGAGGGAAAAGGTTCTCCTTCCTAAGCTCATTCCTCCTCATCACAGAAGTTTCACACCAGCTCTGAAGCTTATCAGATCCTTCTGTGATCCAGTTAAACTCATGCACCCAAACACTGGACAGAGAGCACAAATAAGAAAGTACAACTGTGCAGCAAAGTGGAAAAGGGAGCAGACCACTGCAGTTGCCAGAGGCAGAAAGGAAGGAAGGGTATTTAGATGCTTACAAAGGAGGAAGCAGGACAGCAAGCAGTAGAGGAAGCTCACAGAGAACACAGTGACAAGATAAATTACTAGTAAAGGAGGCTAATGAAGAAGGCAGCAGTATTTCCTCACACAAAACAACAGGACAGTTTCAGATATGTTAAAATTACAACCCGCTTCTCATAAAGATAGAATGACATGAAGAGGTTCAAAGGACTCCTATGTGAACTCAGATGGTGTAAAACAAAGACTAGTTAAGCGATGACTTTGATGGCAGCAGAAAGAAAAAGCTGAAGTGCTGAATCACAGTTGGATCAACGAAGGAGGAAGTATTCAAGATAAAATAGTGGTGTATAGCACAGCAGGAGAAACCTTCCAAAGCTGTACACAAGCAAACTCCTCAGGGACAAATCAGGGGTAGAAGACATGGATGGGATGGGATGCATTCATCCCAGGGGGGTGAACTGGATGTAAAGGGGATGGAACTGGGAATTGGAAATGCTAAGCTATTTCATCTGGAAAGAACCTACAATGATCATTTGGTCCCACTGCCTATGACTTGCCTTCTTGAATAATATCAGAAACAAAATAGAGAATAGAAAGGCAAGTTTCCCTGCTTGCTCCAACTGAGAAAGCCTACATCTATTGAACTGACGCAGTATTACAAGAAAAGCTCCATTCCCTACAATCTTACTTCCTGAGCCTCTTTCTGCGCTGCACTCTGACGTGAGGGGGAAACGATCACCATGACAAGCAACGACCATTATCGCCTGCAGTGTGAGCACGGTGACAGAACAGGGCGGGCGCCGACCCCTGACAGCAACCACCTCACCCCTGCACCAGCAGCGCCAAGCGCCCACCCCGCAAGCGCGGAACCTCTCACACCCCGCCGCGGGGGAAGCCCCCGCTCAGAAAGCTCTAGGAGATGCGCATGCGCGCCAGCAAACACCGCCCCCGAACTGCCGGTTCCTGAAGGGCGGTGGGGCGGGTCTAGGCCTCGGCGGGCCCCACCTCGCTGCCCTCAACCCTCAGGGGCGCGGTATGCGGGTGCGCGGCAGCAGCGCTTTACCTGCGAGGTGACCATGATGCTGGAGTCGATGAGAAAGCTCATGGCGGCACCCGCCGCCGCCGCCCGTCCCGGTTTCAGCCCCTTGCCCTCGGCGGCGGCTGCAGTGCGCAGGCGCAGCGGCCTCCCCGCGGCAGGGCGGGACTGGGGACTGGGGCTTGAGGGAAAGCTCCGCCCCTGGTGTGCAGCGCGCGTGTTGTGGTGGCCTTGGTGCGTCCAGTGGGGGAAACGTGTGGGCCTGATTGTTGGACCCTGCTGCTGCTGGCAGCCTGCTGAGTGGGGGCCCTGGAGGAAGCCTGAACCCTGCTCCTGCAGCTCAGCGCAGGGGGTGCCCCTCCGACGCTGAGGAGAAGCCAGGGGAAGGAGACCTGTTCCTGTGGAAGGGCCATGCTGGCACGTTTCCAGTTCCCTGTGCCCTTTCCATCTTCCCTGTGCGCCAAGACCAGAGCCGGGGACGCCTTTCAAGACTGCAGTTACAATATATCAAGGAATAAAGCCAGAAGGGAAGTAAAAGTTCAAACAGGGAATTTCCTGATGCCTATCGGTGTGAGATCTGATCGTTAATGTCACAGTCACGTCCCCAGTTGAACTTAATGGTGCCTGTATGTTTTGGTTTTTTTCCTTTTAAAAACACACATAACCTTTGCCACCCAAAACTGTCAGTGTTTGGAATAATAAATCACATGAGAAGAGAAAGAATCGAGTGTGGTTAGTGAGGATTTTAACAAAGCGTGGAGCCCCTGCTGATTCAAAATCAGGAACTTTTATTCATTGCAACCATTTCACTAGGAAAACAAATCTACATTTGGTGGTGCCAAGTCACCAGATTCCAGTCTCTTTGTTTGGCTTTCTGTCTCGCCGTCAGTCATCTTGATTTGAAATCTGTCTCCCTCTCTACGGCATTGCAAAGAGAAAAAAAACATTCGGTGTTCACAGGGTTGAGAGAGCATATTCGCTCATATAATCTAAAACCTTTTTCTTCACAGCTTCTGATATTGCTTCCAATTAATGCAGAGCTGAGATCAGGACTTCCTTGTTCCTCCTTTCTCTTTCTGCTACTTGGAAATTGATCTTTCGTAAAGTGATGAGATTTCCTGAGTTTGGAGTGATTTGTGGTTGTTTTGTTCTGTATTGTAGGCTGTGGGGCAAGGTTTACAGTTGGTTGCTTTTTAAAGACAGAAGTTAACAGGAAATCCTTTAAAAAATAAATTATTCAAAGCACCTTTTGTGGGTTTGTACACGTTGGCAACTCTGCTCATTTCAACACAAAGTTAATAAGGCAGGCTTTGGTCATAACTCTTTAAACTTTCTCCTTTTCATGTGTTTATAAATAGGCTTGAAACATGCCTTTGACTTAGCTGTAATTTACTGCTCCCTGAGACTTGGAAGAAACAGGGAAGAAGATAATTCCTACTGGAAAAACTCAGAGCCACCCCACATCACAATCCCAAGATTTCTCCTTCAGGGAAGAGAAAAAGCATAGAAAGAAAATGGAAAATTTATTCTGTGTTGTTCCTCCTTAGATAGCAGCTGATGTGCATGTGTGGGGAGAAGGGTCCATGGCACTGCACAGGCACAAAGGCAACATCTCAGTTCTGAGAGGCTGGTAGTTCCACTACACAGAATATAGATAGAGGTGGCCAGGGCGGAGAGGCAGCACACAAGGAAGAAGGGCTGGTCAGTATATGGGCAGGTTTCCATTCAGCTCCATATTTTATTCTTCCACATATTAAAGTGTGAATGTGGCTACTTTATGTTCAGTTTGTAGAGGTAACCAATGTCTTTCAACTAAAGAGGAGAGGTGGAGCATATTGAATTAAAGCAGTTTGTTGGCCAAGAGTATATTTAGAAATAACACAGGTTACCAGAAGGTGCTATGGGGCATATTCATGACAAACAGGTTTAGCTGGCAGCAAGCCAGCCATTTTATTTTCTCCCAGGGGCTTTCATAAAAAGGAGCTCTGAAGCTGGGAGTAACCCAACATCAATCTGATTTCTGAATTTCTTTTGAATTTATTTGTGGTGACTTCAGCTGAAAGTGCTCACTGGCAATAGATTAGTTCCTTTATGGGGTTGTCTACAACTTTTCTTTGAACTAACATCCATGTATTGAGAAGCTTGCCTGAACATTTTTGTCTCAATAATTCTTTATATACTTAAGTAGAAGGATAGGGAAAAAAGCTTTACCTGTGCTAGCCAGGTTCTCAGTTTTATCAGGTAAATAGAGTAACCAGCACATAAAAGTTCAATTAAATTATATTAAAGTTTCTAACCTTCTTAAAATCCAGAAATACCAGATTAGATGATGGGCTGGGTTTAAGATGGCTTGCCTTATCCTTACAATGAGGTACCCAGCCAGTGAGCTTGCAGGTTTCTTCACTTCAGCCTTTACCTGCAACCTCCAGTCAGCTGACACGCTGCACCGGTACCTAGGATTCTCTGCTGCCCTCCTGCACAGCCTCTGCCCCACAGCTGCCCATAATCTAGGATTTTCTGTTATTTGTAACTGGGTTTCCTTATCCCAGTTGCATTATTTCCTTATCGTCCTTCAATCCAACTCTCCCCTGAGCTTCAGGGAAGCACCATAGGAGACAATTGTTCTATTTAATGTATCACCATAAAGTCTTTGCTGTGTTGACATAAAAGTTTTTTGGTAAGCTACTGCATGACTTTTCAAACAATACAGCCTTTCCTCCTTGAAAATCAATAAACGGCTTGTTTTGCTTTTACTGTGCCAGGCTGGATCTAGGAAGGTAAAGGCCAACAGTCTCTGTTGTTCCCAAAATGTTCTGTCAGTAGCTCTGTAATCACCATTTCTATTCAGTTCTGCTTCATCCCTGATCAGGAAGCTTTAAAATACATAGGGTTTTGTTGACAGAATGTTAAAATGCAGTCCTCTGCACTTCCAAATGGATTTGAAGGCACACTTGACACTGAAAGGGAGCCGGAAAGGCCTAAGCCCCTTATATTTCCATTATTTTCTCTGTTGACAAGCATACTGGGGTTCTTTCATTTTTGTAATTTTTTTAGTTGTAAAGCTTTTTCCAAACCAGTTACACAACATGTGATTCTGGCCTCAAGCAGCTTTTGTAGCTACCAAACATCAGCTGACTGTGTTTGTGCATCAGCCTCTGCTGTGGTGCCCAGCTAGTTAGTGTTGCCTGCAGGGACAGTCTAAGCAAGCTCTACCAGAGAGGCAGAAACTGCCTTATACGCGTTGTTCCACCACGCAGAAGGGACCAGCTGGTCCACCCTTTGGCTCAATGCAAAGTCAGACCAGGGTGCTCAGTGCTTTTCCCAGTCACTCTTCACCCACCAAGGATGGGGATCCCACTATGTCTCTGGGCACCCGCTTTAGCACTGAACCACTCTCCATTTGAACAATGTTTTCTTCCTTGCCAGATATTTTTAGTCAAAATTTTCCTTGTGATCGTTGCCTCTGATCTTTCGCTTTCACCTTCCTTGAGAGTCCATCTCCATCTTCCCTCCCCACTCCAAAATTAGGTACCTGAAGACAGCAGTTGGGGCTCCCCTAGTACCCTTCCCCCTAGGCTGAATAAACCCTCAATATCTCTTTGTACATCAAAATGCTGAGAGAAAAACTCGAGTTGTTCACAGACACGGGTCTTGCCTGTTCTACTGAAATAGGTGCATGCCAAGCTAGTTGCGAGGAAAGGATTGTGTGCCAGAGAACATCTTGGCAAGTCAACACACATTAATTTGCCATAGTTGCTACTCAACTGTATAAGCACATTTGGTGTTGGCAAAAAGCCTTTCCTGAGCTATATTAAAAGATGTAGCACAGAGAGAGCCTAAGAAATGGCAATGTCATTCTGCTGGGGTGAAAATAATTCCAGTACTTAGGCAAGTCCCCTGATTTTGGTATACTTATCCAACCCTGGCCCTCAGGAAATTTGGCACCATATACTGTTTTATCACAACTGCCTCAGGCTCATAGGAAGGCTGTACTCAGGTTCTCATGGATGTTCCTGTCTTTACTAAACAAAACTAGGCCTAGGCTAGGATTACTGAAAATGGCCTGAAAAGCCATTTTCTATATAAAACAGCAAACTGCCACTTTTTTTTTCAACAGCCGCTCTTTAAATGTGAAACTGCAGAGTCAGTGAGTTACTGAGTGGCAAGAGAGAATGGACTTTCTTCCCTCAGTGGTAGATTTCATTCCCACACAGACCTAAAGAGCAGAGAGGCCCCAAATCTATTCCCTCCTACAGGAGGAGAAAGTTGAGCCTCACTGTGTTTCAGTGCTCAGAGGCTGTTCGTATCTATCTCACTTAGAGGAAAGAATCAGTATAACATGATAACATTTCAGGTTAGATATAAGGAAGAAGTTCTTTACTCTGAGGTGGTGAGGCACTGGAACAGGTTGCCCAAAGAAGCGGTGAATGCTCCATCCTTGGCAGTGTTCAAGGCCAGGTTGGACAGAGCCTTGGGCGACATGGTCTAGTGTGAGGTGTCCCTGACCAGGCAGGGGGTTGTAACTGGATGATCTTAAGGTCCTTTCCAACCCAAACCATTCTGTGATAATTTGTGGGGTTGCATTCGTGAAGGATGGCTTTTTTTTCAGTGTGCCATAAACAATCAAAAATTCTTCCATGGAAACTGGAAAATTTTCCTGGAGGTTGCACTGATGGTTTAAAACAGAGGCCCAGTAATATCATGCATGATACAACCCCCTCCCACATGCCTTGCAAGGACCATTGAATTGTTAAAGCTTCATCAGCCTAAACCCACTGCTCCAGGAATTGTCTTATGTAAGCATAAATAAGGGGCATTCCCAGCCACTTGTCATGTCACCACTGTTTCATGTGGTGAGGTAAAGACTAAGGTGGGAGGACAGGGGAGATCAATCAAGTCTTTTTTCACTCATGACAAATCCACATCTGTGTTGATGTTGTCAGCACAGTGCAGTGCTTGCATTTTCAAACTACTGCCTTTCTGGTTGAGGAGTCATATATTAACCAAGATAGCAGTTCTGCCAGGAAATAACAAGGATACCATCCATTTCAGCAGTGCTTTTCATCAGATCATTCCTACTTACTTTACAAACAGAATTAAGGAAGCCTCACAACATCCCTGTGAGGTAGGTGGAAATTCTTACACCCATTTTACAGGTGGAGAAAACAGGCACTGAGAGGTAAAGTGATTATCACAGCAAGTCAGAAGCAGAGCTGGAAATAAATCTAAGATTATTATCCTAGGTCCACTGCTCTAGACACTAGAGAATACCAACTCCCACATGCTACCGTAAGCTAAGACACTACCTTTCTCTTCTACTTTCACCTCCTTTGGTGATTTTGACACTTGCATCTTATGCTCCCTGCAGAGAACCATGTGGTCAGTTAGTAATTTATTTGCACAGGGAGCCAAGAGGGGGTACTCACACCTTTACATGGTTATGGCATGGCTGTAATTGTCCAGTGACTTCCCCCTTCCCAAGGAGATAATTCTCCCTGGTCTTCACACATACAACTTTTTATTTAGTTCTTTTTGAAGTATAATCATACATTAGATCCACAGCACTGAGGCTGTTTGTTAGGCAACTTCACTAGGAATTTCTTGAATAAATGATTAAATTTGTTTCACTGAGAGGGAATAAAACACATTTATATACTATCACATCTGGAAATAGCAATAATCCTTTGCTCATCTGCACAGCCTTCAATCCAAGGACCTCCCAATCTATTACTAACACAATATATTGAGCCTCACATTATCTTTGTGAGGTAGAAAATTATTCCCTATTGTACGTGAAGGAAGAATGACTTGCTGACAGTCCCACAGTGATTTCATTGCGGAGATGAGGCTGAACGCCAGAAGACCGGACCAGTCCCTGCCCAGCTCGCTGAGAGGCAGTGTCTTGATGCTGTGGCTTGTACTTGGTGGCTACAGATTCACTAGCAGTCTGGCAGGGTACTTGAAAACTGGCTTGATAAATAAAAAGCAACAGCAGCTGACTGGATGCAGGAGGAAAACGCTGGTTTGTTTCATTGTGCTGTTCTGACCTGGAGGAGCTTTCCTGAGGCAGCTGTGAAAGAACTACAGAGTGTCCATTGAGTACACTTTACACAGTGCATTTTACTGAGGCATTCCAGTGAAAAAGAATGACATACTCAACATCTGATGAATAAAAACTGAACCACCTGACAGCTATATTATGAACCATATACTGTGATAAATGAGCACTCATCTTGAAGTAGTCCAGTGATCTAATGAAGGTATGCATGTCAGAGGTCAGGAACAGGAGTGATTATTAAAAGACATTGTGTGTAAAAGAACTTGTCAAGTAATTAGAAGTCAATAAGGGCATGATTCATCTTGTCCAGTACATTGGTGTCTGGAAGGGTAACATGCTCTAAAGACAGAAGATCCCTTAAACTGAACCATTACAAGGTTTTGGTTTTTATGCACAGGGAAGTATGTTTCCAGCCCCCTTCAACAAGTGGGCTGGTTGATCCTTAGAACCATTATACCTCTTTTTCTGTTTTATTCTTAGAACCCTGAAAACTCTCTCATAACTATCTGTGAACAAAATAAAAAGTAATAGATCCCATCTAGTATAAGTGTGGTGATTTTGCTGTTTGTCTAAATCTTTGCCCTTTCTTGAATTCTAGTGTCTTGAATTGGGCACAGTGGACTCTTCCCTAAAGAAAAACTTTCTCTTTCCTCAGTTGCCTTTCATTTGTGTTGTTCTCCTGCTTCTGTATTAAGAGGGTAGATATATGCTAGCCTCCAGATTCTCTCTCTGCATGTTCCTTTGCATGTGTTGCTTTATTATATTCCTTTCGAAAACTTTCAGTCTTCCTTCACAAGGAAGGACAACCTAACAGCCTTTGTCCAGGGAGCAAAGATTTTGACCTCAGGCTGCAAACCTTAGGAAAATATACAGGCCCAAGAGGAGCAAAAGGATTAATAGTGTAAAAAACAAACATGGTAATACTATGGTGCTAAAGAATTCCAGAGCACCCTACAAACTTTCTACATTTTTACAGCTTACCTCACTCAGCAGTGAAGTCCAGCCACCTCTGTGCTCATATGGGGCAGCCGCGTAACAAGGCAGGGAAAGTCCACCAGACAGGTTAGATCAGTGGGTGGCAAAACTGACTGTATTGGTGGCTGCCCACGCTGCGACATGAAGCAGCAGGACTGGAGGTGTGAGCCCAAGCCTACCCGGAGCTCTCTCAAACATCCATTTGACTTCCATGGGCTTCGAGTCAGCCCCGCTACAATGGGAGATGGCAGGGGGTCTTATCTAGCTGATGTTGGGATGAGTTCTATGCATTATGCCAAAGACAGCTTTTTCCCTGACCTGGATTAGAGCCTGCCCTGGGAACAATGGGATGGGCTGCAGCCCAGCGGAAAGAATTTGCTGAGCTGGCAGAGTCTGAGGTTCGCAGAGCAGAGCAGATGAGAGCACATACCTGCACTTTTCTGGCATGAGGCTCAATTCTGGGGGACATAGATATTAACCTGAAGATTTTGAGCACATTGCTGCGCTGTCCCAGCCAAAAGGTGCTGCTGAAGTCCTAAAATTAGAAATCCACACACATTCAAACATTTGTAAGCACAAGTCTTTCTGCCTTTTGTAGAAAGATTTTGATGAGGCTCTGAGAGTTCTGTACAGACCTGTTGTCATAAAAGGTCTAAATCATCTTTTGAAAGGCCTTGTTTTACTCAAGACTCTGGCATTTTATAGAGATGTAGACCACTGGATGGCTCCTGTCTGTCAAGTTAAAAACAAAATATGTCAAAAGACTATTATCATACCAGACTTTTCCAACCTGAACAATCAGTTTTGTATTTAGAGTTCTAAATAGTCACAGTCACCAAGACCCCTGGTTTAGGTTCACAGGTGCCTTCAGGACTCTGAGATTTGCTGAGTGCCTGTAAGTCTGAGAGCTCCAGGAGCTGAGCACATGTCAGGATCACGTCATGAAGGCTTATAAGTAGTTTCATGCTCTGGGGCTGTAGCTGTTTTCTCTTTTCACAGAGCCTTCCCATGCTTACTTTGCTAAATCAAGATTCAGATCTTTTAAGTCACAAGACTACAAGTAAAAAATATCACTTGAATTTATTCTTTCCAGTGGTCTAAAATAGGCTTGGGGCTGGATGACCCTCTTGGGAACAAATAATCCATCTGTGAGCATCTGCTAAATCCTAGTAGAGAGCTGCTGTTAACCTTGCTCACTGCAATGTCACTTGAAGAGCAGAAATAGTTTTGACAAAGGGAAAATATTTTTACCTCACTCAGATTTGCATTCTCAGAGAAAGTGGAGACATTTCGGCTTTATTTTCTGAATAGAGAGGGGAAATGGTGCTTATGAGTTTAGTGCATTGATGCTAAGCACAGAATTCACTTTGTGAATTAAATAACTGCAATTCCATGCCAACAGCAAAGGGGAGATCTGCTCAGCATGCCATGGGTGGAAACAGAAAGAAATACTAGATACACTTTGTGATCAGTCTTCCCCTTCACTGGCCAAACAGAAATGTGGAACACAAAGCTTCCAGTAAATCCGTTCACAGTAGTGACATTTGCGGTTCACTGCCACGTTAGGTTTTAAAAGACATCAGTTATGTGTACAGCATAGGTATTCCTGTAAAGCGTGAGCTAGTATGTGGAAACAGGGAAAATGTTCTTTCTCAAATGGACATACAGGGCAAATAAGGCACAGTTACCATGATCATACCTTTCCAGTTGAGAATCTCAAGAGGAAATAATATTCAAATGGCTATTTTAGCACTTTGCTTAAAAAATACCTTTTGATTCTTTCTCTATCTCTCATTTTCTTTTCAACCTTTTCATTTTCATGTGCTCCCCATATCCTGCACCTTCATACAGTCAAATCATCTGACCTGGCCCGGCTGCTGGCTTTACTTAGCCTGCTGAGGGGTCTCATATCAGTGGCGAGCTCAGTAGGTGCTGAAGGCCCTTCCACTTCATCGCTCACCACCTCCTCTTCTGCTTTCTTCACCCCTGGCTCTTCTTGAGGTTCCGGCTGCTCCTCTTCTTGTGCCTCCTCCTCTGCTCTTACTTTCTCCTCTTCCGGCTCCTTCGCTTGTGCATACGATGGTAACCTCTCATCAAATGCCCTGGCAAGATCTTCTAATGGTCCCATCCCAATCTTCTCCTCAAACTCATTGAAGGCTGATGGAAGGGGGCTGGGCTCAACCCCTACTTCCGTGAGAGGAAAATAGTGGGGCACTGGCTTCTCTTCTTCCAGCAGCTTGTAGCCTTTGGTCTTTGGGATGGAGGATACTGTGATGGCATGGAGGGGCTTCTCTGGGACTTCCCCCAGCTGTTCCTCTGCTGGTCTTCTCAGAGCCTTCCGGATTCTTTTCAGGATCAAGTGACTGATCTCCACCAGGTTGAGGAAGAGGGACACAGAAGCCACCGCCAGCATGAACATAATAAAGATGGTCTTCTCTGTGGGCCTGGAGACAAAGCAGTCCACAAGATTGGGACAGGGCCACCGCCCGCAGCGGTAAAGTGGAAGAATTCGGAAGCCATACAGGAAGTATTGACCTACTATGAATCCCACCTCAAAGAGGGTTTTGAAAATGATATGGAAGATGTAGGTTCTCAGGAGGGTACCTTCCAGGCGAAACTTCTTGGTCCCATTAGGATTGTTGCCTTTGTTTTGATTTGGAGCCAGGGGCAGCTTCTCTTCATCCACCTCAGCTTGCTGACGTCTCTCAGCTTCCTCCTTCTCTCTCCTCTTCTCCTCCATGCGGACATGGTGCACCGCATGTCCAAAGTACATTAGCGAAGGTGTGGATACAAAAATGATCTGCAGAACCCAGAGCCGGATGTGAGAGATGGGGAAGGCTTCATCATAGCAGACATTCTCACAACCAGGTTGCTGGGTGTTGCACACAAAGTCTGACTGTTCGTCTCCCCACACTAGCTCAGCGGCTGTTCCCAGGATCAGGATGCGGAAAATGAAGAGCACTGTGAGCCAAACTCTCCCGATGACAGTGGATTGCTCGTTCACCTGCTCTAAAATGTTCCCCAAGAAACTCCAGTCACCCATTTCTTACCGTCTAAGGAAAGAAAAAAGAAAGAGAATGACCACAAATTATGCTAAATTTTAGCTTTCAAGTTTTCCCACTGATGCCTTTTGTTGCTTTCAACCAGTAAGTAATATGTTTTGAGAAAAGAAAGAAGGTTGCTTGCTTGCGTATTTGCCTGATCACAATGATTCATTTAGGAGAAGAGCTAGGAAGCCAGAGCAAACTGCTTGCTATATTTGTTCTTCCCTGGCTCTAAATGGGCAATTACTTTTCAGCCAAGGAGTGTATTTATCTCCTTTTCAAAGTAAGAAACTTCTGTTGTGCCTCATAAACTCAGTTGTATGAGCCTGCTTAGATTTTGTACACGTACAAACACGTGCCAGCAGTACAGTAGAACAGATTTATCAGCATGCAGCTGCAGTGGTTTGAAGAGTGAAGCTTTCAAGCACTTCTTGCGCCATAACCACACACAAACAGATCTGAAATCAGTGCCCATGTTGCACCTACACAAACCTGAATTCTCTCTAGGTTGCATATATTAATTCTACATTAGAAATCACTCTGTTAGGTAATACGATTACATCATTGCTGTGTTAGTAACAATATACAAGCTTAATAACTACCATATATATACTATTTTGCTGTATAGAATACATTATATTCAATACAATTGTTTGGTGTTCTTTGTATTGTATTCTGAAGTCAGTTGCCAGACTGATATTGGAACAAACATGGAGAAAAACATAAAGGTCTATAACTGTGACCTAAAATACTATTTTCTCTCTCTAAAAAGCCAGTGCTGCTATCTCAGACTAACATAGAGGTGGAAGCCAGCTACAGACATCCTACTGGAAAGCTAGGAAAGTAGTCCATTTACAAGTAATGCAAGTAAACATTACATCTGTCATTTTTGCATGATAATAAATTATTCCTAGGCTAGGACTTGATCCAGTGTAGCCTAAACTTCCCACTATATGATTTTAGGCAAGGGAAAATCTTTGCATGAGTGAAATAAAGAAGAAACTTCTTTGGGATGGGCTGATTTAACACATCACAGCTGTCTGAATCTCTGAGGAATGCTGAATATTACAGCGATCAAAAAAATAAAAATGAACTGTGGACCATGACAAGTGAAACAGGGAACATTTTCCATAAAATAGCTGTTCACAGGGATTTAGAAGTTCATGTCTTAGATATTATCTCCATCTATAGTTTCTTATATGCAGACACACATATACAAGTGCTGAGTAAAAGAAGGTACAGTCAACAGGATGAAAATCTGAGTATCTAAACTTCCCTCCTCTCTCAAATACCACTGGGATATATTTGTAATGCCATATGTTACAACACACCAACGCATCCCAGTCTGTTTCAACTACTGTGTGTACATATTCACACATAGATAAACACACAAAATATTGAGAGTTCTATGGCTCTGGGGAATGTCACAAATTTTCGACCAAAGAAATCCTTCTGATGTCATTGTTCTAAAACAAGATGGACTCATTTGCCTTGCTTTCAGACCTTGCAAAATTTTAACCCCAGACACCCATGTCAGAAAACAAAGAACAGAGCACACTTCTTCAGCTTGCACAAATACCTTGCATGTGTAAGCAGCAAACATAATTTAATCACTGAAGAAAATTGCTACTTTCTCAGTCATTAAAGTTGTGTAGAAGAGTGTGTTAATGTCAGCACTTACATTAACAAGTCTAGCAGAAGATTATGCTGTTTACATACATTAACTAAACTGATTTAAACATTCTCTTTCTGCAGATTCACAGAGCAAAGCACACCCGACAGTTACCCATCATGTGCAACCGTAAAAAAACATGACTACACACAGTATGAACCTCATTGTCTCCCAGGCAATGAAGTTAACTCCATCCCTTTCTTTGTGAGTCACGCTGATATCCGCAGCTAGCATTTGAACATTTCCACTGCAACGCACAAGAGCGACATTCTAGATGTGATAAACCTTATCATACGGAAAACTCACTGTACAAGAGAAGGAAAACTACTTCCTAACTCCATCAAATGTCTCACTTGCAGGTTGATACATTTGGCTAAAGTCCTGAGATCACTTCCGAACTAGTCACATTTTTCGTAACTCTGCCATGCCCATCCTCTCATTTTTCTGCCAGTGAAGTGGTTCAAAGCTGCTCAATCAGTTCAACTACAAGAAACAACTTTGGGCAGACTGCAGATGCACAACCAGTTCAAATGCCTGGGGTTCCACCTGTAAGCAGTCAGCCCTTCAAGTCCCAGAAAAAGTTGAAAGTGATGAATTTAGGCAGTCACCTTTTTGTTTAAATTGCCTATCACGAGGAGACTGCCTAAGCCCACTTGGAGTCAACAGACTCGTGTTCTTAACTCACATGGGTTTGTTGTAAAGCCCCACCCTGCACTTCCAGATGTTGCAACCTGAGCGCACCACCACCAGCTAAAAAGACTGTATAGGTTAAGGACGTTGAGCAAGCAACTTGCCGCAGTGAAAGGCTCCACCGAAGAAGTGTGTCCCCCTCCTCTCTTGGCACCCTGCAGGGAAGAGTGAAATTTTGTCTCTCTTCTTCCCTACTCTAAAAGTCCCAATCTTGTCGCACGACTGAGCAGATATGACTGAATTGGCTCTGATGGCGGGTTTTAGTTGCCCTGCAATATTTAAGCTCTGAGCCAGACGGCTTTATAAAGTGAGTGACAGTTAGTGACATGGGGAACAATAGGGAGAAAAAAAAATAGAGAAAGAGAGGCAGAGAGAGAGAGAGGAGAATCTACTGAACATGAAAAACCAGAGCAGGGAGAGGAACAGGAGAAAGGCAGTGAAAACCTAATACATGCCTAAACAGGAGTTTGCACAGTTAAGCAGGAACCAAAGCATCTCGGCAACTCTGCTATGGTTCAACACAGCTCTGTGTGTGTGTCCCCACTCATTAGTCTTTAGGTGTTGTGGTGTGACAGGTGACACGGGAGTGCCAACTTCTCTGATAGTGGCAGAACTAATCGAATTATTTTGTACCCTACACCCAGCTCTGACAGGTAAGTCATATTGCTGATTTCCAGCACAGGTAGTCACTGAGGTACCTGTAGGTGGCATTGTCATATACATTGAGCTGCTCTTTAACATCTTTTACCTGGAAAAAGCAGCAGTATTGGAAAATTAGATCATCAGTCATGGTTAATCAAGCTGAGAAATACCAATTTTACAACCTTGCCTTTCAGTGTCTTGGTTCTGCTTAGTTTTTCTTCCAATTGCATTTTGCACATGCACAGGCATCCAAAATGGCTAAAACAAACTGTTTTGTTAAGGAGCGCAGGCGAATTCCAGCAGCCCAGCAAACAAGAATGTTACCCCAGGCACACTCACCTACCCCCAACCATCTGCAGAAATGCTGCAGAGCCCAACAGAAGAGAGAAGTCACAAGCTCAGTAATGCATCCATAGGTACAACTGTCTTGTGAGTTTTGATTATAAGCCAAAGGTTATAGCTTTACTCTGAGGTGTTATTTTTGTAGTCTTTCTGTATGAATTGCTCAGAATGTGCTCTTTGTGCTCAGCTCTGAAGAAAAGGAGGATAACTGGAAGCAAGATCTGCTAAGCAATGATACAGATACTGGGCCCATAACATCATAAAGCAGCAAGTAGCTCTCCTCTCTCTTCATGCAGATTTTATTTCCTTGAATAGCACTGGGAGATGCTCTGTCTCTAGAGAAGCTGTCATTTGAATGGTCATTTTGTGAGGGCCACAAAGTTGTGTCTCTTCAAACCAATAAACCTCTCTTCAGTGTTTCTGGCATTTATGCCCATGTAAGTTCAGAGCCTCATTTCAATGGATGTCTTCCCAAGCAGCTTTTAAGCAGAGGAGTTGCATAGCTCCAAAGTCCAAAGCACAACTGGAAGAAGAGATGATGTTTTACCAACTGGATTTCAAAAGAGGTAAAGTATAAGTAAAAGATGGAAAAGAATCACATTTTGCAAGAGGAACCAGTTTGGAGGACAAAAAAAAAAAAATAAAATCAATCTCCATGCATGCAATTGGAATGAAGGTCATTTCTCAACACCTTAATAAATCATTCTCTTAATAGAGAAGTAGTAGAGGTTTATACCTGGCATTTTTCAGGTTGTGCTACATGAAGCATGGGAATAGTCTTCCAGGAGAGAGGACACACAGAGGAGAAGACACAAGTCTCACAAATATGCAGTGAATAAAAAAATGCACAGTTTGATCAACAAGAGGATTAAGGACAGTAAGGGAGAGTGAGGAATACCTTTGTTGCTTTGTTTTGCTATATGCTACTGAGATAAACTAGGATTAATACATGTGTGACTGGTCTTCAATGCCACCCTCATCCCCTCTCTGGGAAGCAGTAAGAGAGGGAGGACTAAATGATATTATCAGCAGCTAACACCTTTAAAGAGCGCTTGCAAGCTGGTGCATCACAGAGGCCAGATGGTTCACATGTTAAACTGCCCATCCCTTCTCAGACTAAAACTCAGCTCTGGCTGAACATGCATATTCCTTCTGGGACCTTATCTCTCCAATATAATGAGCCAAAACCCAAATCTGGTATGTAGCTACATGGCTGTAGTCCATCTCTAAATTATATCCAGCTACTGTCAGAGACATTTCCTATTAACCTTTTATCCACCATTTGCAAACAACTATCTAAATATCAAATATTGTCTGGCAAGTTGCAAAACAGCTTGCAAAATGCAGCTGATGCAGAAATTATATGTGAGTGGCTAATCATTTGGTATATGGCACCTTCATCTGAGTGATCACGGTGACTTTCTTTGCTATCAGTAGGGTGCAGAGCCTTTAACATGGGGCACACAGTTTGCTGGACATTTCTGGTTTGGGAAAAACCATAGAGTCCCTTTAACTGGATGCCTTTTAAAAAGGCATCCCTGAGTTCATTCTGGGCCAGATTCTCCAGCTCACTAGCACACGCACGCACGCACACACACACACACACACACACCGATGAAATGGCCACAGAAAAGCACCTAAATAAAGATGAAGATGGCCAGTG